GAAACACAAGTGTGTTTGTGTGAGTCACTGCGCTCAAATCAGACAATTATGAGCTTCATCGGGGTCTGTGGCTCCACGCATGTTTATACAGTCACAACAACACCGCCAACATCATCTTGTTTTCCAATACAAACATATAAACTCTCCGAAATCAAGATACATTTACTGCAGAAGCAAAATAAGTCGTTTTCTGGTGAAAAAAAAAAAAAAAAAACTATGAAAATCAAGTGACTTTTTTTGCTTAAAACAAGGAAAAACATCTGCCAATGGAAAAATAATCTTGCTTTCTCTTTTAATTAAGATGATTTTTCTTCATCCTTTGACAGATTTTTTCCCCTGATTTTAAGCATAAACTCAGTAAATTGTGGCACTTTTTGTTTTAGAAACTGAGACTTAGCTTGTCCTTTCGCTTCTCCAGTAAATTAATTTAAAATGTTTAGATGTTTGTACAGGAAAACAAGACAAAAACTGAGGCAGAAAATGATTTGTATGCAGTGCATGCAGCTGAGAGAGAGTTTGTGATGTTAAACTGTGAGTTTGTGTGCGTCACTCATGTAGTGTATTTTCCAGAAAACAAGTCACACATGTAGGTCACATCAGCTCAAAATTGCATTGAGTAAAAAACAAAACAAAACAGATAAGCCACATTTTATTATTACATTCATAAATAATGTTGTTAAATACAACAAAATATTTCTAAATATTGTAAACACCATAAACATGTATTTTAGTTCCACCCACTCCACAACAAATCCTTTACATATAACCTTTTTTTAGAGCATAACAAGAATACAAAATATCAATTAAACATAAATTATAGTGGAATTCATTATAATCAAATTGAGTCCAAACGAGCTGATTTAAAGCTGAAAGTAAAGTGTGTGTGAAATGTGCTACACAAAGAAACCTGCTCTCCTGTTTCTCTCTCATTTGGCACCAAAACAAATGTGTTTGAGTGCATTATATTGTCACAGCACATCTCAGATAATCCAAAAACAGATTATATTCTGGAAAATGCTGTAATTCATTACAAGTATAATCAAATATAATTAAGGAAGTTTGCTGCCGTACTATGGGAGCAGCAGGTGCAATGATATTACGCAGCGCCTGAAAATAGTCCCCAGCACACTCCCTGTGCAAGCAGGTGGTCACGTTGGTTATGTTGACGGAAGTTAGCCTATTTTCAGGCGCTGCGTAATATCATTGCGCCTGCTG